AAATTGGTATCTGCAGTGTTCCAGTTTTGCTCAGCCTTCAAGCTTTCTTCAACAGCTTTTTTTTCTGAGAGTGAGATGAGAAGACAAGTTAAGGAAGGAGCTGCAGTCCAGAGTGTAGTTAGCCTAACTTAGCATAAAGACAGATAAAGATGGTTCTTCCCAAAGTTCAAGAACACACCTACCAACACCTCTAAAGCTCACTGGTTGACACGATATATCTTGTTTGATCCGTACACAAAGATAAAGATCTGTTGTTTTACGGGGGTTACGGGCTGACCCACAGTTAGCCATCCATCCTGACAACTATTTTATTCTGTCCTCTTCATTTCTGTTCTGTTTAGATCGCTATCTCTCTACCTGTCTTCCATTTTTGTCCTTTTTTGTTCTCTCTCTCTCCATTTTCTCTCTTCCTCTGACTTTTTGCTTTTTTTTCTGGTTTCTCTTTCTACTTCTTTTTGCCGCTCTCTCTCTGTCTCACTCTCTACGTGTGTGTCTGTGCCTCTCTCTCTGTCTCACTCTCTATGTGTGTGTCTGTGCCTCTCTCTGTCTCACTCTCTCTCTCTGGTAATCTATCTTAGTTAATATCGTCTCTGTGAGCAGCTGGGTACCGAAGCCCAGTCAGCTCTGTGAGAAACAGACCTCTGGTTGTGTGTGTGTATGTGTGTGTGTGAGAGAGAGAGAAAGAGAGACACACACAAACACACAGAAAGATAGAGACAGAGAGAAAACAAGATACAAAGTAAAACAGTAGCAAGAGACAGAGCAAGGAGGAGGGAACCTGATGATTATCACCACAGTGTAAGACAGTGGAATTATGTGTGTGTGTGTATATATATATATATATATATGGATCGATGCAATGCAGGGGGTTATGGGTAACTGTAGGTCAAAGAGGACCTTCCGAATCTCAACAACATATTGACGTTAAGCTGATTGGTTAAACAATTTTCCTGTTGGGAGCAGGTTGTCACATCCAACATCACATCCAAAAGATGTCTGAGATGTTGCACTCTTTCCAATGTAATCTGATTACTTGTACTTCATAGTACAAATGATGTACATCAAGTGAAAAGTAAATTGGGTCAGAAGTGCCTTCTAACAGACTAAATGAAGATGTGGAACGTGACCAACTTGAACCTTGTCATTAGCTGTGTGGTTGACGACAGATATGTGTCACTGCTCTTTCTGACCACCGCTGCTTCTTATTTGGAGAACTGTGCTGCTGCGTTTTGGACGGGGTCTAAATAACTATGTATTTAACTCTTAGACCAGTTCTGTTCTTAGAAAAAGGTGCCGAAGTTTTGTTAAGTTATTAATGTTAGTTTTGCTACTACTTAGAAGTGAGGATTTTTATATAAAAAAAATAAATAAAAATAATAATAACTCAACTGTACTGGACAGATAGTGTGTAATGAAGTCAAATTGATGGAGACAGCGAGACAAACAGGTAATGAGAGACAGACCGAGAGACAGACGGGTATTTTGTCTCTCCTCTAGTTGCCGGGGCGACCGCCCTGGCCTGGCCTGGCTCGATGCTCGAGTGCGAGAAGAAAAAACAAAGAAAGGAACAGAAAAGAAAGAAAAGCGCCACAATCAATGAGACCCTTTTTGTTTTAGTGGGAACCCCCTTTTACCCCCGACGACACACACACACACACACACACACTGAAACGCACAGGGACAGAGGAACAGGATGACTGAATTGGTGTGTGATTGTGTGTGTGTGCCTTTGTGTCTGACTCCCTCTCCCTCTCTGTGTGTGTGACTGACTTTATTTAAGACAAGGGCCCTTTTGTTTTAAGCTGGAGAATGGCTCTGAGACCGAGGCTGGCCCTGTAATTGGCCTACTTAGGCCCTGTTTAGCATGAGAAAAGCCTTCCTTGGCCCGGCAGTGCCAAGCTAACTCTTGTTTTCAGCCACAGAGAGGGTGAACGCGCTGATCAGAATTCAGATTAGCTCGAAAAACATCCACCACCACCCCCACCCCTCCAAACACACTTCTCCACCCTCTGCTTTAAATACACTGCACACTAATTACTTAACGAGAAAGCTGGGAAAAAAATCCACCCTTTAACGGAGTAGCGGTGGAGTCTATTTAAAGTTGGGGGGGAAGAGGGGATGACAGGTTCTTTTTCACCTCTAACTTTTTTGTGCCACTTTAAGAAAAAATGACCCTCTCCTCCATCCTTCTCTCTCCTCTCTCTTCTCTGTCTTTTATTCTCGCGCTCTCTTCTCTCCAAATAAGCCCAGACGCCACTTGTTGCCGCCGAATCATTGAACTTAATTAGCGGGACAATGTGTGAGCGGTTTGCTAAGTTTGAGCCGTAAACAGAGTCACAGTTAGAGGAGGGGGAAAAGCATCCGAGACGAGAAGTTAGACTCTGAGCTGTGGAGCTGTGAGATGAACGTCTCCACGCTGAGCAGCATGAGGTCGCTCTCATGGAGGTAAATACCATCCCAACCGTGGTTCCATTCATCATTATCAGCTTGGTTTGAGGTGTCTGAGGTAGGCTTGGTTCCTGGATGTTAGACGGCTTCAGAATCAGATCCAAAGGGCAGTTGTTTGTCTTTCTGATGTTGAACTTCTGGTGTCAGTGATGTACTTTATATAGGGATATCTAATGTGACATTTGGAAGCAGTTTTAAGATTGAGACGAAGCTAAAATATCCCTTTTGTAATTTGTTTTGTATTAAAAAATTAATGTGATCTGTATGTCTGCCTGTGTCTGTCTGCCTGTTTTGCATTCAGTTTCATTATCTTGAAGGCAGTGTTATGGTTTTGACTACGCCAAAAAAAGGGAAAAAAATGCTTTTGGTATTTTAATTTAGATTTTAATTTTGGCAGCAAGTGTGCATTTTCAAACATCACAGTGAATTTTTCCATTTTAATGTTGCAATAGATCATGCTCACACAATAAATGAAATTTCAGTTTGATTAAATTATTTCATTTTAATCTTGGCAGACGTGGACTTCCATTTCTACACTGTATTAACCTATTTAGAGCAGTTATACATGGAACTATGTGATTTAACACACAGACACACATGCCTTAACACAAATGAGCGCTTACTATTAACAAATTCACAATGACTTTCAATATTCCAACCATTAATAATGTGCTAATACCGCGTACCATCATATATGATGGATAGTAGTGATGGGAAAGATTCCCTTACATATCACCTATCAGCATTGTATTATTGCAGACTTTGGCATGTGAGGGTTAAAAATACTGTGAACTGATAATATAACACTATATATCCAATAAATCTTGGTTTAATTACCGTGAATCCTAGATTTATTTCTTTTTCAGGCATTTCTGTAACATTTTAGTGCCAAGTCAGATATTCTGGAGCTTTCCAAAAAAATCTGAAGTCACTATCAACTTTAATATAGACATGAACACTATTTACAAGACAGAAACTAGTAGTCATAGTAACTCTTGTATAATGCGAAGTTGGAATTATTCTTAGCATTCCAAACTGTCCTCAATATCCCAGCTTCCATTCACGTGTCAGGTCAACATGCCTGACTGGTGCTGAAAATTGCGTATCTGCAGTGTTCCAGTTTTGCTCAGCCGTCAAGCTTTCTTCAACACTCAAACATTCCAGCTGTTATCAGCAGTCGACATCCTGACCATCCTCAATTTTTCCAACATTTGTCAATATTTCAGACATTCTCTCGTCAACACTCTGACATTTTGCAACATTACTGAAATTCCAACTGTGTTCAGCCTCCTGACACAAAAATTCTCCCTTCAACATTACAGTTAGATTCAATATAACTTACTACCATATTTCAGCTTAGCAGTGACAGCTGTGATCAGCATCATTCCAGTAACCCTCTACACTACACCACTACAGTTGTTATCAACATTACATTGATCAATATTATCTTTGATTTCATCATTCTGACTGTCGTTGATATTTCAGATACCTTCAACATTCTCTGATCAACATTGAGATACATTCCATCTTTCCTGAACATTCTCATTGTGTACAAAATTCAGAAGTATTCTGGATAATAATCTCTATAAACAATTATCTGAACACAAATGTATAATCTGGAGACAACGGATGAGAGTTTGATATTGGAAGCGTTCTGGTTCCATTTGTAGTCCCATTAGTATTGACCAGTCATGCTTGAGCGGGCTTTGTTTGCAAGCAGTCTGACAGCAATTTAGCTTTTATTTGTGACCGGTGCACGGAAGAGGAACTCCTGGCCCAGATCCGTTATTCACTGGCTACACCTGAAGCCTCGAAGCATTGACCATTGCCCCCTACTGTCAGACAGTAACCGATGGGCTCCTCAACATTTCAGTTTCCATTCCCTTTTCATCTCGACATGCTAGCCATGACGAACATTTTAACAATTATCTTTATTCCTGTTATTCCACTATCAAAATTCGAGTGATCAATATTGTATTTGATTCTTCAGCACTACTGACAATATTCCAGCTTGCTTTGTCGAGTATTTCGGATGGTTTCAGAAATTTTTGTCACAAAATTCTGGTCGTGATTATTGGAAATATCAGACAAACCACATTTTGACTGTTTTTATTTATCTTTTAAAAAGGATTTCAGGTGATATTATTATTACTGTGTTAATCCGCTGCTGAAAATAGTCCTCTACAAATGCACATTCCTCTTGTGTGAGTAATGTTTGGCATTAACTACAGTGCCCAGCAAGGCTTTATATGTATATATATGTATTTATTTATATATATTTGTGACTCTGGTACCTTATACATGTAGATTTAATTTTAGTCTATCTTAATCCAATGCGATTTCATTTTTACTGTCCAAATATTTATGACAGGCTTATCTTCACGCTGCAGTCTTCATATCTTCAGAAATCTTCCTGTTTTTGCTTGTGAAGAATGGTGCATCCTTCCTGGTCCTTGAGTCACAAGGTCACATGATTAACAATTTTTTCTCTCTTTCTCTCTCTCTCTCTCTCTCTCTCTCTGTTTCTTTGTCTGTCTGTCTCTCTCGAACAGTCGATACTGGGTGGCGAGCTGGGGTTGGGGAGTCCCAGCGCGGCATCGCCCACCAAGCCGGCCGGTCAGTACTACCAGCACTACAGCTCCAACCCTCGGAGGAGAACGCTGCCAATGGATACCATGGGTGAGAGGCCGCTATCACGCTAACATTATACATTCACTATAAACACACAATGACATTCACATTAACAGGTCTGTCACTGAACTCTGTTACAAAATGTCTAACAAAGATAAAAAAATTGAGTTTGCAGTGAGAAAT